ATCCGGGACTTCTGTGTGGTGAAAGTCCTGTCGCAAAGGCATTTAAATAAAAAATCTAGTAATTTACGAAACGAAAATGTTAATTGATTAGAATTAAATAGATTGATGTAGTTGCCTGATACAGAAGATGTAGAAGATCTCAATACGCTCGATGAATTAAAGTTCACAGTAGTACGATACTAATAAGTCGTTTAAAGAAATAGTAATGATTTCTTTAGACTGAATAAGTTAAAAGTGAACGGTCTATTTGACTTTTGCTAGTTATGGAAAAAATCGCTATGTACGAAGTAGGGTTAACATAATACTTATTAATTGATTGATGCAAAAGTAGAACCTGTAGAATAGAAATTGAAGACTGTTTTTCTACTGCTTAGAGTAGTAGTTAACATTACAAAGTTCTATCGCAACAGTTAAGTATGCAGTCATCAACTTCGATAAACCTCGAATAGCTACTAAACTAAAGCTAGGCGTGGACTAGAATTTAGTTCGAGTATATATCTACCAGTTGTCCCTCATTTGCAGACCGGTTTAATTGCCATTAAAGCGGTTTACCGGCTGACAGAACGTTATTGTTACAGCGTTTCATCTCTTGATTGGAGACAATCTATTCCCGCTCGGTCAGTCGTGTAACAGAGTCATAGTAGTTTTTTTGCCAGAGACTGTTTGCTACATTTCTGGGAAATAAAGCTTTAATGATTTGGTAGGTTTCAACTCTATTGTATAATTATTATGCAGGCTTTACACTCTTACCCGTTAACAATGTTCAATATTAAGAATTAAGTAAAAGTCACAAAAAAGACAAAGGCTCATCCTTCCTTTATTTTACCCAATACCTGACGATGCGACCTCCTCCCATCGTCATTCCGCCTTTTTATCACTTTTTCTCTGATTCCTGGCCACTTGTTTTAGAATTTTGAATCGTTCTTTAATTCCGTTGTCCGTTATTCTCACTTTGTTTTCGTTCCGTCGCTACTCTCTACGTGCTACTCTTCAAATTTTTACCCGTTTACCAGTTACCAAAAATCTCTTGCGCGATAAACATTTAAAAGATCACAAAAATTTTTGAAATATTTTTTTTATAAAACCGGATTTATTTCCACAATTCCTTTTTCCTTCTGAATTTTGAACTTTAAACTCGCTAAGCAAGATATATAGAGGCGGCAGACGTTGCGGAGGCTACATTGTGCCAGCAGTACGTGACAACCCCCGCAAATACTAAAAACTTGACAGCAAATAATGTGCGCAAAAAGGGTATAAAACCTTCAGAATCCACAATTTTCCATAATAGATAGCTAAATTTTATGTTACCTAGCGTCTTATTCAATCAGAAACGCTTCTTCGTTGTTTGTATTCTAAAAATTACTCAAAGAGTATGTGTTAAATCTTCAAATATATCCATCGTAGCTATTGATGTGCCAGGGACATATGCGTTTTAGTTTAATATTGTTGTACTGTTAAATTGTAATCAAACTTCTCAATTAATTCATTATACCTGATTTTGAATTTTATCAAATTAAATATATACACGTTACTATTTTATGATACTAATTTCCATTCAATCGTATTGTAATTTGTTGCGCGTGACATAGTACCTATTACATGGTAACTACATTAATTGTATTGTAATGGAATAGACTGTTCATTATTTGTGTTTAAATTATTATAATTATGTGCTTGTGTCATCCAAAAAAATGTATTTAGTGTCACCTACTATGTTCTGCGTCACGTGTGTTCTGGTTCTATTTCCCGATCCGCTGAAAATCAGCGTCGTAGCACTTGAATGAGAGACGTCAACAAGCTGAGTGGGTCACGGTTTCCTTGGCAGCACAGCACTCACGCTTTGCACTCTATATATTACATGTATTTAGTTTCAAATCCTTAGGTTCCTATTACTATCATTATCAGTATTATTATTATTATAAAATGCATGTGTACTCTGTTGATTATTCACGGATTAAATTATTTCTATTCTATTCTATTCTAATCTATTCTATTATTGTTTGAATATAAATTCTTTCTTTGTACACTTTTTATATTGAAATGAAACCTTAAATAATTATAACTTTTTATAAAAAAAGCGATCTCACTAGTTTGTGAATTACACCTATTTGCCAAGTTTTATTGAAATAGATTAACGGAAAATGGATGAAATCCAATAAACCGGATTCATACCTTAATTTGCCACCCATAGAGGTGGCATATTTTCTTCAAGTCTAAATGGGACCACCATTGAGGAAACAAAGATACAATCATCGAAATCGCTTCACAAAAATGTCGGAGTAATCGCGTACCATACAAACAAAAAAATACAATCGCATTGAAAACCTCATCCTTTCTTGAAGTCGGTTAAAAAGTACGTTACCAAAGAGTAAAATGAAGTAATATCTTATGAAAACTGTTGTTACGTCCACATATCGTCAGGGATAGTGCAATTACGCGTAACTAGCATTTGATTATGAGTCTCCATTTCGGTAATTAAGTCGCCAAATCAAATCTGCGTAAATGTCGTGGCAACCAAATTAGCGTGATTTACGGGACCTTATTGTTATCAGTCCGTAGACAACATAAATTAATGCTTACTGTGCAGAAATGAAAATCGTAGCCATTGAAATAACAAAGTAATAACGTTAAATCCCTCTCCTGTGAAATTTGGTTTGGTGCAGATACGCGCTTTTTACCAATACTACATACGCGGATTTGCACTATCCCCTACCATATGGCGACTGTATGTGTGACTAGAAAATACATTATTGTTAAATATGTAAAATAGCGCCCCAGCTGGTCTCACATAGATTGAATACTAAAAATAGCTTCGATTTAAATTGGAATAGTTACATCCGACTATTATTAATTTTTATGAGCTTCGTTAAAGGCAATTGAAAAAGGTAAGGCTAAAAAATAAAGTAGCGAAAAAACAAAAAATATATGGATGAGGTTTTAGTTCGTAGGTCACCAATAGAAAACGAAGTAGAGAAATGTTTCATGCTCATGGCTAAAGAGAGTAGTAGAAATATTGTATGTCATCATAAATATATTAATAATAATATATTTATTATTATTAATATATTTGTTATTATTGATAATATATTTATAATAATAATATATTTTTTGTAACAATACTCCACTACTTTGTTATTATTATTGGCAAAGAGATCGAACAAAACAAAGGAAAATTTCTTCGATCTGACTGGATGCGAACCAGCGGTTGTTGCCACGCACTGTGGTCACTGCTCTTACCAATTTCTACAGAGCGAATCAGTAGATCACACGAATTTCTCTATATGCTTTTTGGAGATCTTTGTACTGGGTTAAGACGGCTTTTTTCCGTTAGCGCCACCTGTAAGAAACTTATGAAAGTTTGTTCAATCAGGCAGGTAACAGTTATTAGATGCTGACAATTGATGTCGCTACATTAATTATACACTAGTTGTAATAGTTAATTTTAAATTATGATTAAGTAGTTGGTCTTAATACACAACTATTGTAAAATAGTTTTAATTTTATACATCTTTACAACTATATTTATTATCTATATCAGTGTCATCGTCAACTCTTTTATACGTCTCACTGCTGTGCACGGGTGCTCAATGCGGGTTGGAGAACGAGAAAGAGTTGTGAACCTTCTTGGACGTGCAGGTTTCATCACGATGTTTTCCTTCACCGAAAAGCTCGTGGTAAATTTCAAATTATATTTCTCACATAATTCCGAGAAACTCAGAATTGCAAGCCCGGATTCGAAGCTATGACCTCTATTTGAGATGCGTTAGGTCATTAGGCTACCACGGCTTCTAAGTGTACTACAACCTACAACCTACAGTACCTCAATTTCCTTCAGCAAATAAAATATTTATTTTACGCGATTTCATTCAAGATAGCGATAACAATCGTTTTTTAAGACTACGCACAATGTTTCTATAGAACCTAAAAATATTTTTTTCACCTCACTAGCTCGGAAAGGCTTCCTTTCTCATTAGAAATCTGCGCGCAAAAGCGTCAACGTGGAAAAGGTTTTTGAAATTCGAACTTGACGATAGGCTGTGGTGCACCTAACTTTATCTTTCGATAAAAAAAGAAACATAATGACACGTTCAACTACGCGATTTGTCGTACATTATTAATGTAATATAAATCCGATGGTATATTTCATTCTTATTATTGTCGACATTAAATTTTCAACGACAACTAATTTTATTTATTATTATTATAGTTCAACTGTTTTTCCTTCATCTACCATTTTCCTCGTGAGGTGAAAATAATAATAATAATTATAACGCACACACTCAACATAGCCCCGCACTAGGGAAACCCTGTGTAGCGGGTGCCATGGACACAAACATAGACAACCACAAATTACACCCAAACTCACGAGAGAAATAAATGCAGGCCATACAAATATTTCTTTTGGCCCGGGAATCGAACCTGAGACTTCTGCGTGGCAGTCCGGCATGGTAACCGTTGGGCCACGGAGGCAGTTAAGTTAGTTAAGTTAGTTAATAATAATAATAATAACGCGCACATACTCTTAGCTCCGCACTAGGGGGACCCTGTATCGCTGATGCCATGGACACACAAATAGACAACCACAAATTACGCCCAAACTCACTAGATAAATAAATGTAAGCCATACAAATATTTCTCCCGTCACGGGAATCGAAGCCGGGACATCTGCGTGGCAGTCATGGTAACCGTTCGGCCACAGAGGCAGTTAAAGAAAGGTTGTGTGTTTCGCTCGGCAGAAAAGTTGTTTTACGGCTCGTGCCTTGAAACCCTCGCTACGCTCAGGATTATATTTTGGTTCAATCTTATGATCCTTTCCTTTGCTCAGGTTTCAATACAAGCACTTGCGTCAAACAACAACTTCACAGCGTTGCATAATAAATAACTATTTTTATTAATGTAGAAACTCCTAATGCAATTACTTTGATTAAGCTACTCAATAAAAGTTATTTTGATCACGATCAAAACTGTCTAAATCAAAGAAGCTTTATAAATTACTTTACTCGTAATTTGCCAGATTTATTTAAAATATTTAAATGAAAAAGTACATACTTAAAAAAAATCGACATATTTTAAAAGACTCCGTTTACTTTAATACAATTACATAATTCCAGTTACTTTTGAAATGTCATCATAGACGTATTTCTCTTTGTCCTTTGTAACTTAGTTATTACGTACTTTGTGGGATTCACCATGATGTCATCCTGATGAAGCCTGTAATAAAAATAATCATACTTTATTCGAAATTTGTATTTAATACTTAAAGATGTCATTAATAAAACAAGTACTCGGTACAAATGTAGATGCGTGGCTTGTATGTGAACACACCCGCCGCGCGCCGTGTGCGGATGCACACGCATTCGCGTAGTCTCACAGTTCACTTGCGTCGCATAGCACAGAACGTCGTACGCGCTATTCATTATAGAAAGCATTAAAGCACTCGCTAGATATTTAAAAAATGGCATCAAATAGAAGACGTTTTTATTACTCCGTTGTCAATTAACATGATAACGGACACTATGGAAACAATACAGTCGTGGAGAGACACCAGTGACCTAGGTTTTCTTCCTACTGGATATTCAAAGCAAGGTCAATAAATTTTACGTTCAATTTATATCGGGAAGCATTTAACATGCTTTTACTTTATTGTTTATCGTTTTTTTATGGTACTTTTTTATGATACCAAGTTACGCGACGAACAAATCATGCACCTGGTGATAAGCGATACGCCTATCCATACCAGTTGCAAAGCCACTCAGCTTTTAAATCGCAAATATCTGAAATGGCACTGCCACTGCGCCTGTCACCTTCACATAAGCTTTGTAGACACACACACCTCCAGAGATTTTTTTAAATATTTTTATTTATTTACCACATATCTGATATATCCATATAAATGTGCAACATACGAAATACAATTGTATGATACGTACGGTAGGTAAGGTAGGCATAGGTATGTTGCTAAACATGACAGTGTGTCTCCGCCAATAAACTGCTCTGCAGTTTGGCGGACTTTGACTTTGTAGCCAAGTGTTATTTTATATAATAAACAATTAATTAATTTATTATTATTATTACACTGGGACACAAGTTCACAAATCCCATGTGCCTGTAATTTCACCGACACCCTTACCCTTAAAACTGGAACACAGTGATACTCACATTACTGTTTGGCGGCAGAAATAGGAAGGGTGGCAGTACTTCCCTGAACGAACTCTTTCACATGGAGCTCTACTGCTACTAAAACTATTATTGAAGCTAATGTACTTATCGAGCTAATGTGTTTATTTACTTATAGACACGTGAGAATAAAGCAATTGCTACATAGCGATATCGTCTACTAAAACACCAATTTATTCAAATAAATTTTGAAATAAAAATTATATTACATTGCAGCTTAATGGTTGTCGTCAAATTAACGACTGACCACCAGTTCAGCATCCAGACCTTAAAAAGTGGCTAAAGTTATACTTAGTCTTTAAAATATATATACTGTAAACCATGCAATTTCAAATTAGTTTTTTTTAAACTTTGTGTCGAAGCGAAACGGTGCACTATTCTGATGCTGAAGCATTAAAAGAACGACAATCTTTACTGCGAGGGCCAACCTGCAAGCAATTGTGGCAAATCCTCCTACACAAGCATACATACATAAAAATTAAAAACACCTTATACCTATAATACGCATTGAGACTATACAGCACCTCTTCATTTCCTTCGTCACTGCCACTCTCTGCAGCATTGGTGAAACTTTCAGGGGCGGTGAAATTGGAGACGGAAACAGGGTGCGGCCACTCCGTATCTGATTCCTCTACTGCGAGGTCTGGTGGGGTATTCGGTGCTCCGTCATTTTTCGTGTTTTTGGATTTATGCTTCTTGGCTGAAAAATATGGAAACCGAAATCAATTAAATTAAATAGAAATTAAACTCACGAACCTCTGGCACTATTTGTATAAGAGTAACAAATGAATAGACGCAGGATTGGGTTCCACCCCTATATTATGGATATTCTAAAGATTCGCACGGAGCTTCCACATTTATATGGCGTCCGGCTATGGAGTAGAAGAAGAGTTGCCTTTGCAAGACAAGAGTGAATAGGATTAGGCATTTTTTAGGTGTGTATTCTCCATCGGCGACCTAATCGTCACTTTCCATGCACAATCGTCAATTTCCATCAGGTGAAATGGAATCAAATGCGCATTTATTATATTATGAAAATGAACGTTGTGATTCCAATCAAATACTGTGTCCCAAAACAAATGAGAAAAGTATACATAAGACATAACACAATTTTTTATAATTGCAGGATGCATATTTACTTATATAATAGTTTCTTGTATTATGCGTTGAATCCAAATTGATGAAAACAACGGTTCCTTTAGTTTTTTATATAAATCTTATAAAAAAAAAATATGAATTTTTGAAGTACTTTCTTCAAAGGAAATGTCCTTTGATGACATTTTTTAAGATGAACAAAATGCAATTTTATTTTTGTGACAGTTTTGAATATCTTTATGTTATGCATAACTTTGATAGCTCAACATTTACACCTATCCAGGTGCGAAGGAATAAGGGTAATCTCGTAAAATTTATATTTAAAGTCCACATTGAGATACATTGTTGTGTTACGCGTCCTGAGCTAATTTTCTATGTAAAGAGGGCACAATAAAGTTTAATAGCTCTTGTGATAGTAAATGTCCTTTCTCGCTTCACCTTCCTACGTCCTTCACAATGTCGTGCAAATATTTCAGATTTTTGTGATTTGAGTGCCTATCAAACACGTTATTGCTACTTTATTTAGGCAAATTCACTGACATTAATATTCACAAACAATAATAACTATCATTCATCTGTGAATGTCGTGCGGTAGTCGTCGCCATTGTCGCGTTTGCATAGAAATATACAAATAAAATATTACCTATTAATTTTATTATTAATATAATAACATCTTTTTGTAAAGAATTTCACAAATATATTTTGGGACCATTTACTAATAAAATTCAGATATACTAACTTTTCATCGGTGCCATGGAAGTATATTTTTAGAGAAAAAAAAAGTTTATTTTCAAATTATTTCACATTTATCTGGGACAAGGAAGTTGCCCCACCAAAGTCGAGCAAACACGACCGTGCATATTTTTCTCGAAGCAATTCTGAGCATTTTTCAGTCGCCCCCTATCTTTGTTATGAATTAGGTTTTAAACGTGAAATCTCTTTATCAATAATAGTTCATTTATTTTACTGAAGCCCTAACTTATAAGTCTCTACTTTAAATTATCTGTAATTAAACCAACCCACTGATCTCCAAAAAAGTCTATTCTTTAATAGACTATTCTACAAAATAGTCTGTGAGATAATAGTTTTTTTATAATTCCAAGTGCAGTGCCGATGAGAACTTTAAATCGCAAAGATCTTATGGGCACCGCCACTACGCCCGTCAGCGTCATGCATGAGTTGACAAGTCCCATGTGCCTGTAATTTCACGAGCACTCCACACATTATTGCTTGGCGGTGGAAATATGTATCTAAGGTGGCAGTACTTCTCTGGACGAAATTACATGACTATTACAGCAAGCTACGTATTTTATTACATTTATCAAAATACAGATACGAAAAGTTCCATCAGGTGTTTATACAACAATATTTTACTACCTTAGCAAATAGGTAATACTTACTTAGTGTCACGTAAGCAACAAAATTCATGCGCTTGTCGCTACAGCAGAAGCAGAAAAATGTTGTACCATTATGGGTCAAGAAAGATCCCCGATACAAAAGATGACGTCAATACAGTAGTATTATAGGCAACCCATTTAACCCGTAACCCATTTAACGTTATTTCGTTCTCGTCAATTTCGGGGAATTTCGATCTAATTTAATTTCATTGGCGCGCATCATCGCATTGGCGCAAACGAAGCTCCTAAATGTCACAGCGCTAAATGATAGAAATTTAGTTAGTTTATGAGAGTATTTCCCAGTGTTTGGGGCTCTTTTATGTTCTGCGTATTGAATTTTGTATATTCACCACGTAGATTTTATCTGACGTGGGTAGTCATTACAAGCACTGAACCTTTCTACCAATATCAACCAAATGATTTAATTTAATAATGTCCATTGAATCTAGTAGTGAAAGTTTGTGTTCATTCAGTATAACATCCGTCTAGCTCCGCCCGGGGACCGTGGCAGTAAGCTAATGCTTATCTAGGTTATTTTTATCCTTTCTGGACAATACAAAAAAAGTAAAATTACATGATGTTCCTTTTGATTTCAGGTACTGTTACTTATATGAAATTAATCCTTGACCCTTTCGGTCATAAAAATACAGGATGTTTTTTCCACATGTGTTCGGTTCAATTAGTAGTAGTATCAGGTACTTATTTTTAAAATAAAATATTATCGTAGTATTGATTGTAATGAGTATTATGATGTTTTACTACCATGATATTCATTTTCTTATGTATAATTACTCCACTACTTACTATGTTATAGTTATTAATACAAAAAAAAATTCGTTCAATTTACAGGAATTTACGGGTTCGAACCCGTGTCTGAAATGCCAGCCTAGGGCAAGAGATCTGCCAACTGAGATATAGATCTAGTCAGCAAATCTCGCTCATTTATCTATACATTTGATCCAGATTTATGTTTTTTCGGCTTTTTTGCCGTTAAAAAAACCCCTGTTAAGAAATCTACGATAGTCTTTTCTTCACTCAACCAGGTATCTTTACAGCTACCAGATATTGACAAGAGATATCGCTTTATAAATTGTAATATTGAGTGTAATGAATATTACGATGTTTTAATATTTATTTCTTTCAAATAATATCTCCATGAATCAAAATATTCTATCTACAATATTTAAAGTGCCTACTTTCCTTCCGTGTCCCATAGCCGTGAAACGCGCTGTACGTGTTAACTTGTATGACTTTCCACTCTTATTACGGTATTTTCAGTCTAATGAACTTTTCGGCCTTTGCACACCCCAGTACAAAATCTAAATCAAGTGGGCATCATTCAACTTTGATTAAACGTTATACCATCAAATACTGAAAACTTTCACAAGTATATTCACGAACAAAACGTGCCATAACGTCATGCCTGAATATTAAACACTTTTCAGCCTTTGTTAAACGTGCACACTGGAAGAGTGAATGAAATGGGGTTTGAATTTTTTATTATGAAGCTTACTTAAGCTCTTGTTCGGTCAGCCGAATATGTTTTTAAATAGTAGGTATTTGATTGATTTTATTTAATAGCGGCTGTGCACATGTTCTATATATATATATATATATATACATAGAACTTGTGCAAAGAGTTCGTCCGCGGATGTACTGTCACCTTAACTATTTCTGCCGCCACGGAGTAATGTCAGCATTACTGTGTTCCGGTTTTAAAGGTTACAGGTACTGGTGAAATTACAGACACATGGGACTGGTCAACTTATGTCTCAGGGTGACGGCCGCAGTGGCAGTGCGCCTCAGATCTTAGCGATTTAAAGAGCTGAGTAGCAATGCAATTGTTATGAACAGGCATGTAGCTTACCATCAGGCGCATGACTTGTTCGTCCCGTTACTTGATATTATAGAAAAAAGCCGTTTAGGCTACAGTATGAAGCAAAGAATGAGAAAGACATACGAGTACATTTACGTGCGTATACACGAAAACCACATACAGAATAAAACAACATTAATCTTGTTCTTGGACAGTTTGATATAAACGATCTCATACACTATTCTTTATAATCAAACAGCCACTTAATGCAAAAGAAATAAAATAAATTGTACATTATACTATAGTTACTTACCTTCAACAGACAAGGCTAGAAACACCACAAACAGAACGATGAATACCTTCATATTTCTTCGTTTCTTCTATGCCAATGTCGAAAATTATTGATTTTAAAAGTATTTATATTTTTCTTGAGCGGATGTTGTAAATTGCTGTGATAAAGAAAATGTAAGCAATTATTGCATCTAAGGTAATTCGCTCTTTTCTTATCCTCGTGCCCGTGTCACTTGCGAGTAAGTTACATTAGGTACAGTCGATACCCTAGGATACCTGACTATTTGGTTCTTCGTAGGTTAGTGTGAAGAAAGGTGTTAAAAAAGTTTAACCTTCGACATGTGAGCGTAAAATTTATTTTGATATGATTTGTTTATTGCACCCACTAGTGGATGACAAATTTCAACCAAAAAGCTGGAATTTCTGTACACTTTTCCGTTGACGAAGGCACTCAGGTAAAGGTTGGTAAGGGTGTCAGGTATCTTAGGGCATCGACTGTAGGTACTATCGGGCTTTACATAGCTCAACTAAATCTTAATTAGATATTGACTTTTTTTAAACAGCTCAAAACCATCAATCAAAATAGTTCTTAAAGTACACTCGTAGTACTTAGGCGCTCAGTAAACGTAGATAATTTTTGGTTGCCGACACAGGACACCATCTAAATAAACCGAGGCTGCAGTGTCCGGTTCCGACAACCGGACACAGTTGGCGCCGGTAACAGTTCGATGTTTGAGTTTTCGAATGTTCCGCCTATCAGAAACGCTTCATCACTATTTGTTTCGAAAAAAATGTTCAAAGAGTATTTGTTCAATCATCACAAATGTCTCTCGTAGCATGATTGTAGCCAGTACGTGTTGATGTGCCGGGGACAATTGCGTGTCTGTAGGTCGTATATTAATCGTTTATTTAATTGTTATCATACCTTTTACTTATCTGAATGAGAGTATAAACTTATATTTGTAATTTTATCAAATGAAATATTTATACGTTCCTAATTTTATGAAATTAATTTCATATCAATCATATTGATAACTGCGCATGACATGGTACCTACATATTTGATAAAATATCTCTGCTGCGTTCCGTGCCAAATGTATGCTGTTACCGGGGCCACTGAAAATCGGGGTCGTTACAATTTCAGTGAGACGACAATAAGTTGAGTAGATGACGGATTCCGTAATAGCACCACAGTACACACTCTATTATTCCAATTTTATTACTTAAATCAAAATTCAATTCAAAAATATTTATTTCAGGTAACAAGGATACATTAGATCATTAACATACAGGTTAAATAGCTTTGGAGACGACAGCCCCCCCGTCTCACGCCGCATTCAAACCCGTATGCCTAAGAGAGGTTGTTGGACCACTTAACTTGGTTAGTCTGATTCTTGTACCAATATTGAAAAATTTTCACTAGTTCAACTGGCATACCCCTATCCTCCATCTCCCCCCGAAGCACATCATACGAAACGAGATCGAAAGCTTTGGAGAGATCCAGAAAACAAGCGAACACTGAACGGTGTCTTGGGTTCTATATAATATTGGACAATGTGCTTGAGAGCCAGAATCGCGCTTTCAGTTGAGAGTCCAAGTTGAAACCCAAACTGTGCGTCGTGGAGCAAGCATACTGTCCAACACTTTAGTTATCGTGGTCGCAAGTGAAATTGGGCGATAGTTATATATGTCTGAAATGTCTCCCGTCTTGTTCTTCACTATGGGCACCACTGTTGTTTTCATCAAATGATCTGGTAAGTAAGAATGAGTAATGCACGTAGTGAAAAACATAGACAAAACCCTTGGCAAATGCGGCCCTGCATACCTTAGATGCTCGACACTGAGCCCATCGTGACAGAGAGATTTACCTCTGCTCGTACTTTTAATAACAGCTTTTACCTGACTCGCTGTGAACCTTAGCAAAGATTCCTGTCCCTGACCCTACCAGTCTAACATCGGTCAACCCAGAGGAGGCATCGAGCGGAGACCGCACTTTAAAATTCTCCATAAATAAATTGGCATTTCCTCTGGGTTACTCCTGCCACCCACACTCGCCGGGAGGCCAGGCCTGACATCCATCTTCTTCCCCGTGGGTTTCCAAATTTTACTAAAATTTATATCAGTACCACAAATTACACTCCATCTCACGAGAGAAATAAATGTAGGCCATACAAATATTTCTCCCGGACTGGGAATCGAGTTTTAGTAGCAGTGGAATTTCTTGTAAAAGAGTTCGGCCATTGAAGTACCGACAACTTATATATTTCTGCCGCCAAGCAGTCGCAGTCACACACGCAGTCATGCTCACATTACTATGTGAGCATGACTGCGTTCCGGTTTTGAAAGGTAAGGGTGCCGGTGAAATTATATGGAACTTTTCAACTTATGTCTCAAGGTGACTGGCGTAGTGGCCAGTGCACCTCAAATCTTCGCGATTTAAAGCTCTGAGTGGCACTGCAACTACTATGTACAGGCGTATCGCTTACCACCAGACGCACGATTTATTCATCCTGTCACTTGGTATCATAAAAAAAAATTAAAAAATATCTAATCTGGAACCTCTGCGTGGTAGTCCAGTATGGTCACCGTACGGCCATGGAGGCACTTTAGTACCTATAATTAGGAACGTTGATCATTATTGAACATGTCACACATAAAAACCAACCTGTGCAAATAACCGTACACTGATGGGTTCATCTGAACATGCTCCATGAGCAAATGAGTACCTCATTTGCTCGCATGCTCTTCGGAAATCCCACACAATTCGCAATTTTAAGAATTTACCCTTCTTACCAAATACCAATATTTGTTTAATGGAACGTATCCGGATAGAAGTTAAAGTTATTTTCTAAAAATAAACCCTGGCATTTTAGTAGGGTCTTGCCCATACTTTACAGCCCTCTATTAATTATTTTCAAACAAGAAGTAGAGGCACAAATCAGAGATCTTTCTAAATCTAAGAGAAATGCGAATTAAACGGTCAATACCGTTTCATGAATACCCTTCGTGCCTGCGGACTACCTTTTTTTGTTTACGGGGGAAATGCTTTATGCGTACACTCGAATCCGCGGCAGGCTCAATGGCTAAATGGGACTGACCCCCCAGATGGATAGCATACCCACTAAAACCTCCGGCTTACCCACTGGGCCAGATGTTGTAGGCGTCGTGAGACCCTGAAGACCCACCTGCACGACGCCCTCGGCGGACTCGGATTTTCGGAAAGTTCCGCGTCAAAAAGGAGAGGGTCGGTTAGCTTGACCCGTCCGCTCAGACTGCTGAGAACGTGCAGTGCAGGCAGATGATCCCCTGTCCGCTAGCCCCAAAATCTCGTGGACCACCCGACAGGTTCACCTACGTCCACCTAAATGTACAAAGGGGAGATTTTTCTCGTGGACCAGTTTGTTATTAAAACTCATAACATTTCAACTGCAAAGAGCCATCATGACTTCAGAAATATGAACTACTACAGTAGTTGTGTTGAATGGACAATTCTCTTGACAACCTGCACATAATTATAACCTAACGTTGTCCATATTTGCCATCCTTTTCATCTATGATCGACTTGAAAGGCCTATCTAATGATATGTAAACGTATTATGCACATATAGACAAATTCGGAACAACCTGTATGACATATCGACATATGACTGTCATTTCAAGCATAACTACCATAATTATGATAAAAGGATGTGTGTAATTGCAGGGTTGATAGTAACAGTCGTTATGTGAGCAGAAATTGGTATTTTCCTTTATGATATTTATACGGGCATAGTTTAGCGAAATCGTCTTTGAAAAGAAAATTGGTAAAAATACAAACACCGTCATATTTAGCGGAACACTGGTTAATTCCCCCAAACAATGCAGTGGTTTTTTTTTAATCTAGTCAGTTATTTTTTTATCTTAAGTGTAATTTGAAAATAAAAAAATAGTTGATTGTCAGGTTTGTCGAGTGGTTCGAGGTTGACTATTGTACCGCGTACGTCTTCTCCTAGTCCCTAACCTACCTCAGGTGGTAGTAAACGAAACTAGAAGGTAGAATTTTCAATAAAGTATGTTATATAAAAAAACAGAAATGAAAAAAATTTGTTTAGAATTATAACTATTTGGGGAAAACTGTCATTGGGTACATATATTTTATCTCGGGGTCATGTTATTCTACCTTGAGATTATTTGTTTCCGCTTCCGGAGTTCCGTACTCCCCTATAGTGTAAGTCCGGCTGTAAATGGAGGGTGGACTCAGTTTACGAAGTAGGTCCAGGTGTCTCGTCACTAGAGCGCGCAGCGAAGCAAGCAGGAAATAAGGCGGGAAAATGGCCTAGGTCTTCGTCTGCCCGACGTGTCAAATGTGAGGTGGTGGTAATTAAGCCGTAGGCAGTTAAGCCGTAGGTAGTTTCTGGAACTGGTAAAACCAACATGCTAAAGTGTGGTCATCTTCTTTCCGTACTGAGGGCCCACCGACAGCAACACGAACAAATTAGGAAAGTACTTGCGTATAGTAGTTCTTGCCGGGTGACCCTATCAGAAACGGAGTTTACAATTTTAAATATAACTAGAGAACTGGATGCCATAACGGTTTTACAAAAGAAAGTATTTAAATTTGCAAAACAATCTAAGCGTCAAAAAAATATAAATCAGATAGTTAAAATTTAAAGTTCGGTGATATGATTAACGGTTTTTTCTTATTGTTGAATAATTTAAGTTTAGACAACAATTGTATAGATTACAGACAATACAAGTGTGCGAATCATAATATTATTATTATTATATTATATTGTTATTATAGAATTGTTATTGTGCTGGTTATAACCAGCACAATAACAATTCGCTGTTACATGTATGTTATGTAAAGTTTATATTAATATAAACTTTTAGTTGCAATCAATGATATTATACTTGGTTGCAATAGCCAGAAAATAAAATTATATTGATTAGATCAAATAGGTTAATAACACAATTGTCAACTTACGTAACCCTCGGATGGCTGCGAATTATTACACATTATAATATAATACATTTGAGAATCAATCACCAGTAACCTCATACAATTAATCTTTATAAAAGCATTGGCTGCACCATTGTGCATCATTTCACTTCCATATTTATTTAATATATTTATTAAAAAATAACATTTATTTTTAAGTATTT